CCTTACCAAGNTAGTTAGTTTCATCAATGATCCAATTCTAGCTGTGAACCATGGCCCAAACTCAAGCTAAAATAGGTTCCTTGCTATTTTGAGATGTTGAGAAGATAAAGAACCAAAAAGGATGGAAACCCTTACCAAACACCCTAGATCCGAGTCTCAAAGAAAAAATGTAAAATCCTTAAATCCACAGGAGGAACCCTAACCCTGACCAATTTGATAAACCTGCCAAAATTGAATATTTGACATAGTGAGGAATGGGGAAGCTAAACTATACCAGCTACAGATCATCATCTACCACAAGTTTTGGGACTTGATTCCTTTATCACTCCCTTACATAGTCCCAATTCGCACCTTGTTCTTCCTCTCATGACGCTAACAAGCCAAGCTGGCTACTGCTCCACCTTGGGTATACCAAAAGGGGCCTTACAGCACAAAATCACTCATCTCACACTAATAAGGTACTTCACTAACAAATGTACATTGTACATCGTACAAAACAACACTCACAGATGCACCAAACAAAACATGTGAAGGAAGATGGTACGTAGTAACATCATTCTCAAAAGAAATACCGTGAGGATAAAAGATAAACCATCATTCACCTGGGGTTGAAAATCTCATATATTGGCCAATATCAACAGAATTTAGCCTTCTAAAGCATATGTCGGAACCTACATGAACAAATGAAATAGTGATGAAAATAACAAAAGTGAAATAACTATTATAATCAGAATCATTCACTCAGCTATTAGTCCGTACTCCAGACTACAATAGGTAAAGCACAAGAATGCAAGATAATCTCAATTCACAAGCCAAAAAGATCTTCACGCAGATAGGCACTAGGGGCAGTCTGTGTATTTGGGCTGATGCATTCAGTCACCAATGGAAGCATAGGCCACAATTTTCAGAAGAAAAGAACCAACTGTCTCCATTCCTCTCGCGATAAGAAGCTTCTTGTAATATTTTTAAGATACCAACACATAAATTGGACGAGAGATCCTCGATTTGTAAGCAGATTCTTGTAACATTATTTTTGATGGCATCATGCATTATTTATGAATAAATGCGCTCTAATAAAGTTATATGTGTGGTGGACATTTACGCCAAGCAAGTTTCCTTCAAGTTTATATAACTTTATAGTCAAAAAGAGGACTAAACTAAAGCGCAAGAAGGCATCTTGACAACAATGCAATCCAAACTTCAGCATTCTTCAATGTTCCAATATAGTGTATCCACCTATACCAGTTAAACTTCGTGCATTTCCAAACTAAAGTCTTGGAATTCATAGAAACCTAGTTATGCATTAGGATCAATTCCATTCCTCAAATACCCAATTGTCCATATCCTTTGATGAACACATTTCAATTAACGCCGCCATACACTAAATCCACAAAGATAAAATATGATAATCCCTTGTACCTAGTTTAGTCTTCTGTAAACCTCCAAAGACATTGTCACATTCCCAGAACAAAGAACTGTTTAAAAAAAAGGAGCTGTAGAAAGACTATTTTTGGGCCTGACATGTTCAGAAACTACATTCTCATTCTTTCCCCATCCTGCTGTTGGTCACAATGTTACTCCATTGATCGACATGGGTGCTGCAAAAGGGAATTTGTTGTAACCATTTACTTTCCCTTTCCTCGATTCCTTTTAGAAAGCTAGAGTAATTGAATGAGAGATCCAATTATCTTGTGGAGAAGGACCTAAGGCCATCCATATACTCCTGCAGTTCCAAGTAGAGATTTCATGGGAATTTCACCACTTGTCCAAGTGCCTTCTCCGTCATCTCTACCTTCAGATCAATTTTAGTTTGGCACTTGAGTCTTGACATATGGCACTTGTAGCTTAGGCCAGTTGGATGCCTAACTGACAACAGCACAGTCATCAAACTAACAACTTTGAAATATATATATATATCTCATTAACATTTATCATTTCTCTCCGATCTTACCAACAGTTCCCCACCAATTCCAACAATGTGAATCATACTTTGCATGAAGTAGAGCCATGCCTCCGCTGTGTGCCACTTTGAACTCAGTTAAATTTCTTTGAGGCATTCAATATGTTGCAAACTCTTGAACTACCATATCAAATCAAAATTTTGAAATGAATGTGAAAATAAAGCTCAAAGTAACAGAAACCAATCGGTGCTGGGTGCAATTGAGCAAAAAAATAAATAGGGCACTTGGTCTGCATTTTGGTAACCACCATTTTGTAACAGTCTCAAACACACACACACACACACACA